TACATATACACAATGGAATATTACTCAGCCGTAAGAAAAAAACAAATGCTACCATTCGCAACAACATGGATGGAGCTAGAGGGTATTATACTTAGTGAAATAAGCCAGGTGGAGAAAGACAAGTACCAAATGATTTCACTCATATGTGGAGTATAAGAACAAAAGAAAACTGAAGGAACAAAACAGCAGCAGAAGCACAGAACCCAAGATTGGACTAACAGTTACCAAAGGGAAAGGGACTGGGGAGGATGGGTGGGAAGGGAGGGATAAGGGTGGGAAAAAAAGAAAGAGGGCATTACGATTAGCATATATAGTGTAGGGGGGTCATGTGGAGGGCTGTGCAACACAGAGAAGACAAGTATTGATTTTACAGCATCTTACTATGTTGATGGACGGTGACGGTGAACGGGGATGTGGGGTGGACTTGTTGAAGGGGGGAGCCTAGTAAACATAATGTCCTTCATGTAATTGCAGATTAATGATACCAAAATAAAATTTTAAAGAAAAATTTATTAAAAAGTGCCAAACAACCCAACAGAAAAAATGGGCAAAGAGTATGAACAAGGAATTCACAGAAGAAAGTCAAATAACCAATAAATATATTCAGAGAAGCTGAAACTCATTAGTCATAATGGAAATTCAACTTTAAACTTCAGTGACATACTATTTCACGTCTATCAGATTGGCAAGAAACAATGAATAATACCCAGTGTTGGCAAGAAACACTAAAACCCTCAGACACTACAGAAAGGAGATAAATCAGTACAACCACTGACAATAGAAAGTTGACAGTATCTGGTAAAGCTGAAGATGAAAAACACCATGACCCAGGGGTTTTCTATTTCTAGATACATTCCATAGAGTAGCATTTTTCAATCTAATGGTCTCATTCAGATTGATTGAGGTTATAAATGGGATTATAAAACCAACAATTTTAAAAATAAAATTAATGGAATAAAAACATCAGAGTGTATAACATACAGTTATAAGGCTGGGTATCAACGAGACTGTGTTAAGGTATGTGTGTGCATGTGTGTGTGTATATATATATACACTGCATTGTTACATAAAAGATCATTGATACTATGGAATTTTAGAGGGACTGCCCAAGAGAAATGTTCCCACACATACATGAGGAAACTCACTGTTGAGAAATTTATAATAGTAAAAAACTTGGAAAAAAATCTGAATCTTGTTCATTAGGAAAATGGATAAACTGTGGTACATTCACACTATGGAATAATGTACACCTATCAAAATGAATGAAGTAGACTAAATGTACCAACACTGGATGTTAAAAACAGGATGCCAAGTGAAAAAAACAAAAAACGTTGAAAAAGGATACATATAGTTCCTTGTTTCATGGGAAAGAGGAGTAAAAAGGGGGCTTCAACTGTATTTGGGATGTTTTTGTTTTTCAAAATCTCTAAGACCAACCTGGGGCAATGACTTATCTCCATCAGCATGCAACTTTAACTTCATCAATGCTACCTTTGCAGCTGTTTCACTATTTTTTGCACCTTTCCGTCGTTTACTTGCTGTCATTCCTGTCTTGGAAGCTAAGAAATAAGTATAAGCATATGATGACATGGAACTTGTATATTTTTCAGAGTTTTATTAATTATTATTATTAATTATGGCCCTGAAATATACACAAATGACACACAATAGAGACTGTAGAGACCACATTCATTTTATAAGCATTATATTTACATGGCCATGCAAAAATACTGCTGAGGTTGATCTAAACAATCTCTACATCAAAAAACTATACTTCTTTCCAATTTAAGCCTATTTAATCCAGAGCAATCACTAATACTTCTACAGAGAATTTTAAGATTTGGTCATTGAAGATTTTAATAAAGGTACTAGCCTTAATATGGAATGAAAATTATGTTGAACTAAAATGTTAGCAAATACACTGTTCTAAGTCACAGATACATTCTTTCCTGGTACCTCAGCATTCACAGGACAGCTGATTAAACTTACAGCTTAGTCTTTAGAGAAAGCAAACGACTACATTAGCCTTATGAGTACCATTTCTAGCCAATATGGTTAACCAGCTGATCTAAGTAGCCCAGTAAAAATGAACATAGTAGGACACTTCCATAAAATTTCCAAATTTTCATTGGTCAGGTAGGCCTTATGAGAAATACTGTCACAAGAACGTCATCAAAACCTGTAGCAAGTTTTAACCACTGGGGCTATTAACAATACTTTCTTAACTGGCAAACTGATGTAAGAAGCAGGCACTCTGGAACTAAGAGTATACAACCGTAAGAAAACAATACACCAAGCTTTATAGATACTTGCCAATAATGTCTCTAACGAGTTTCTGAGTGGCAGCCATATGAGGCTTAGGGATTTCCAGTTTTTTACATTCATGGTCTGTCTGATGTCGATGTCTATAAACAACAGAAGAAATAGTTAATGTATTTGCATATGTCTTAGATACACAGAGTTTGAATGATCTGATAGATTACCTCAGGCAAAAATTCTTCTCACAATTAGGACATATAATTGGCACAAGCTCTCTTTCAGCACAGTCCTTGAATGAGCATGGGTAAGATATATGCTTATCTGCTTTCGGTCTCTCACTGATTACAGTTATCTGAAGATGTAAAAAGGGGGAAACAGCATTATAAGCACATTTAAAGCACATCAAGAAGTCTGTTTTGGAAGCCAATATTCATGTACTTTTTGCTTAAACTTATAAGAGCAACTTATACACTCACATAACAGCTTATAATGTTTGTGTGAGAAATGATGACAGTTATACATTTTCATAATTCTCCTACTGTGTTACATTTATCTTCTAAGTCAAACTAAAATAACTTTTTACTTACTCTTTATAATTTTAGTCTTCTACTTTGAAATAATCCTGCACAAACATGCCCCCATAATAATGTGTTAGGTAATCATCTCAGCCAAATTCAAACAGGAAGTCAACCTACTTTCTACACTGACTTTAGGGGGTTAAATATATATAAAAGAACACTTAAAATTATATGTTTATCCACTATACAGGAGTTTTAAAGACAGTTTTTAGAATGATATACTATTTTCAATTCTGTGTTTAATATTATACTACCAGCAAATATTATATCAGAGGAAGAAGAGATATTATGTAAGATAAAAAAGTATATATATATCCAGACCAGTCAGGTTATTTTGAATATTAAGTAACTAGGTTTCTAGAATTGATGAACTTAGGGAAATAATTACTTGAAATCTACACCAAAGAGCATTTGTCTATATAAATGAGTTATCTTTTGTTGGGATTAATTTCTTAACTATTTTTTCAATTTGTTCCAACGGTCTCAAGGTAAATTATTTTTATTTAATTTAATAAATGAAACTTAATTGACAGACATTCCAAGAGAACTACTCATAGAAATCACATAAGAAAAAGCAAAGCATGGGGAAGATTTACAAGCTGTGTAAGAAACATCAGTATGTTTACTATATGACTCTATCTATATGAGTTATTTACTTCTAATTAATCCTATATAATAACACTATTAATTTTTATTCTCCTTAAATAAACTACGTAAACTTCAAAGGGCCAGATTTTGAGTAAAGCTTTTTTAACCTCAGTTTTCTATAACTGACAGAACCAATGTAAAAATCCTCAGTAAACGCCTTGGTAAATGGTGGGCAGGAATAAATGTCAACTGAAAATGTGAAGTAAATGTTTCCCAGTGGAATGCATTCAGTTTAACTTCCTACCTTTCTCTGACTAAGAAAGGGTGAGAAATTTATCTGATTACAAATTTGAGAAAATTACATTAGGTATGATGGGCTCACCTTTCTCCTGCCCTCAAGAAGGAGGCCTAACCTGGTATATAGCACTGCTATGACTGGTAAGCAAATCTGTCTAATTCAAGATTTCCTTTGCAGACCCATCTGGCTCTCCACTAAGCTTTATTTTATCATTCAATTTATCCTTTACCAGTAATAAAGATGATTTTTTCGGTTTCTATATAACAGCCCTTTTTAATCTCTTAATTTGGTGAAAATTAGGGTGGGAATTTTGTTGGACTACAGGTTTGATCCTGGTGATAGAAAGCTGGGTCAGAACAACGTATTACCACAGAATCCTAACACCAGGCACCAGTGAAGGTGAACACAACAGTGAAGAAAAACTAGGAGTATATGACAAGCATGTTAAGTCCATTGTATGTTTATAAATATAGAGCCTAAAGCTGTAAATGGGCTACCTAAACAGAACTGAAGTGTAATGAGATGAGAATGAAAATTTATAAATACCAAGGAGACCAAATTTTCTTTAAGACAAGCTGAGAAAAATAACATAAATGAAGTAAGAACCTCTTTACATAATCAGTTTAGTATGCCAAATTTTAATCCACAGTACACTAACTGATTTTAAATCAAATAAAACTCTGAATTAAAGTACATAAATAAAACTTTTTATTAGGAGAACTATTAACATACCTCAGGACAGCTATGTGACTCCCGGCTTCTGTGTTCAAGGCTTAAAATAAATTTTTTAAAGTGTTCATTTAAGTGCAATCAAATAATGTACATAAAGATAACTGCAGTAATTTGAGATATTTTAATGGTTAGTATAAAGATTAATTACATTCACATTACATTAAGAATTCTGCATATAAGAATAAACTGAAATGACAGATGAATTAAAGATAGAGCATTTATAGTCTCAAACATTTTAAAACCCAACTATTCAACTTCAACATGAGTAATAACAACTCACCACTCTAAATTACTTTCACTCAAGTGCTTTCAAGTGTTTGAAAATACATAGAATCTTTTAATTCCTTTTATTTCTCAGACCATAAGTAACAAAACATCAAAGGAGTGCTCTAGTTCTGAATAACAATATGCATTACTTTTATTTACTTATCGTCTTTCTGAGTTATCTTCTGAAAATACTTTATTCTTTCAGTGCTTTAATAAATTAAATGTCTGATACATGAAAGTGTAACTGCAAAGAAAATACATTTTCCAAAATCTTTGCTTAGTTCCCAGGTTTTACTTTGTATGAGATGTGTGTGCAAAGGATATGTGGTATCCAATTTAAATATACAGGTTGAGCTCTTTTCATTATATTAATTCAAATGAAGAGTAATCAGAATAACTGGGGTTTTAAAAACATTTCTTTATATTGTGGATATGTTCTCTCCTTGTGATTAAAGGACACAAATATAACTTGTGTAAAAATCACACACATAATCTCATTTCTGGAAATATAAGATTAGCCACACATATGCACAAGTAATAAGAGCTTATGACTAGTCTATTTGTCCTTTTTTTCCAAGTGATTACTAAATGAATATCAAAGATCAATGGCTAAAGTAAAACCTATCTTAAACATTATGCTTTTCAGAAATGTCTCTTATCACAAACACTGAAACGACTCCCAAATTCTGCATAAAAACTTACCAAAAAATTCCTGAACAACCATCACACACAAATGGAAGAAAATCTAAAATTGAGGGAAAATGTTATATGTGCTGGTCAGTATCTGATTTTGATTTAGTTTTCTTAAGCAAAAAGAATCTTAAAGTACTGAACATCTGTAAGAGAACTTTCCTTTTTGACCAATATCTTAGCATAGCAAGTAGTGGTTAAAAAATGCCATCATAATCTCAAGCACTCTGAAAGTAAGTAGATTATCAGGATATGAATGTCACATGTAATAGCGTGCTAAATCAGAAAAAAAGTTTTTTCCCCCAGATTTAATAGCTGTTGCTTTTGATGACTGTATACTGCAAAAATCCTGGCCTTTAATTCTGATTTCACAATTTACTAATCTTGCAATATTAGGCAAGTTACTTAATAGAAGAGCTTCAGATACACACACACACACACACACACACACACACACACACACATATATTTGATATAGTATAGAGCGTGTGTATATGCATATAAATGAACACAAACTAAAACCCTATTATTAGGTGATTACAGATACAAATTGATATAGATATAACCATATTATGTCTGTGTACATGTATTTGTGTTTGTGTATGTATGGGTATATATATATCTCTATACTGTGTCACACCTACTTCACAGGGTAATTGCAAAAACCAAATAATACATATATGAAAGATAAGTATAGTAATATAGTAACTGCAATTAATAAAATAACTTCTTCCGAATATGCTGAACTCAGAAAAAATCCTGTGGTGACTAGGTAGAGAGATATTAAAAGAATTTACAAAAAATCAGCAGATGGATTTATTGATACTGCAATATTTAGTTCTGAATTGTTTGTTTCCTTGCAGTTGAGGAACACCTAAGTTAGGACTAATAACTAAGTTAGGAACTGAATTTTTGGAAAGCACATAGAAGTACCCGTTCTTAGATGCAGCAACTGACCAAGAAGACCCAGGGGTAAGAATTAAGATTAAGATAATTTCCTGACACCTGACACAATCCTTCTAACCACTCAGAAGCTAAATGAAATTCAGGATACACACTTAACATACACTAAATCTTAACCCCACTCCTAGTAGAAAAAAGCTAAATCCTCACCTCATTTCAGATATTCACACTTTGAAGTTCAAAAGGAAGACAAACTATGTCACAATTGGTAGATACCATGGACTTATTAGGGGTAATCAGATATAGCAGAGATACATAACTAACAGTCAAAAGCCAATAGGCTAATCTTCCCTACGACGGATCTGCAAGGAAGCATAGGCTCGTGCCTGATGAATGGCTGGTGATGACAGGCAGTGGTGAAAAATACACATATACATAGTGTGGTAAAGGACCTAGCAGGGGACTGTGTCCTTTTGCCTACCACCCACATCAGGTATCACTTATCAGTTGTGACACTCCAACAAAATCTGAGCATGAATCCTTCTCAACAGTGACTTAGGTACCTGCTACCAATAACTGAAGCTGTAATGGGAGATACAGCCTATTTTCTACCCTATGCAATATGGGCTAAATATGAAAACACATTTGGAGTGAAAACCACGTACCAAAGACTGAGCATTCTGTGTGGCTCTAATCCTTCAGGAACTTGCCTGTAACAGATGTTCGACATCCTAAGGCGTGTGCTACACTACCACAAGCTATTAGATGGGCTATGTGTATCACAAGGGCTCTCAGTTCATTGGAGACAGAACATCACCTTATTAATGCCCCAAAAGGCAGCTCATTAGTCTGAAAGTTTTTGTGTTAAAGACTATTTTTCACCTTCATGTATCCCAGCACCAAAACAAATGCTTGAGAAATGTTTGCTGAATGACAGAACTGAGAGAGCATAATGATCATCTAGCAAACAGTTTGAGGATCAGAATCCCTTGAGTGTCCGATAAAAACCAAGGGCCTTCTCACTAGAAGAGCGTTTCCTGATAAGCCTGCGAAAACCAGGTTAAAAGCTGATCATGCCCAACCTCTTCTTCTGACAGATAAGTAACAGACAACAAAACAAACATTTTGAGAAAGAGAACTGGCTTGCCCATGGTCGCAGGGGCAGGAGCAGAAGTGATTCTCAGAGCATCCCGTGCTCTTCAGAAAGTAGTGGGCACTACGCGACTTCTTGGCAGGAGCCCTCGAAAACTAAACTGAACACTGCAAGGCACGTTCTGAGGAATTGCATGGTCCCCTTCCCAGGTGACCACTGCCTCTTCCTAAGGCTCAGGGGCTACGAAAAGCACCAACACATCTCACTGCCGGCCCAGGAGGGATGCGCCCGCCCGGCCTCCGCAGCCTCCGCCCCGTCCCACAGCCTCCCCGCAGCCGCCGCCACCATCCGCGGAGGCAGAGGAGTCCCAGTCGTCCGGGACTAGGGCTAGAGACTCCTAGATCACCTCGCTGCCGGCAATGCTCCGCCTCACAGTGCTGCCCAACATCCAACTCCGCCATCACACTGCGCCGGGAGGGGCGGGGCGACGACGAAGGGGCGGGGCGACGACGTGCGCGCAGCGACTGCTGGGAGTGTGAAGGACCCAGGGGCGGAGCCTACAGGTGGGGAAGGGGCTCGGACTGGGCGCCGTAGTCTTGCTGGGCGTGTGCGGAGTTCTGATTCTGCGCGATGCGCGCCCCTAGGGAGGCGGCCCAAAAAAAGCGGGGCAGAGCGGGGCAGAGCGGGGCAGGGCGGGGCGGGGAGGTTCGTGTGTTCTTCTTGCTGGGCTTTACCCTCTCGCCCAATCCTTACGGAAATACACAACTGCCTTTCTGGAAGATTGTGTGCTTGAGGTTTTCTCCGTGCAACATCTAAAATCGGGGACAGCCGTACAAGGATTGTCTTTTTTTTTTTTTTAATTAGCTCTACTATCCAGCACAGTGCCTGGCACAAATATTTACAAGAATCAAGTGAAGGAGACACACTCGTCGTTCGATTCCTGATTTGTCCTACACCAATGTTGTTTGATTCTGTAGTTTAAAGTAAATACCCCTTGTGTTTTTGTTTGTTTTAAAAGTCAAAGTTTATTTTTATTTTTTTATTTTTTAAAATTCTGACAGGAAAAAACAAGGCTGTAGCTCTTGAGGGCGTAAGTGTGTACTGAACCACATAGGGTACCTGACTTTAGAGAGCCCAGACCCATTTAACACAGCTACCTGAAGAAAGCTTATTGCATTGGAATGTCAGGGAGTTCCCTGTGCTTCATAAAACACTTAAAAGGTACTGAGGAAGGAAAGGCTCTACTAGGTGGGGTTCAAATGGATGCCATTCCCCTGACAACGTGACACCAGACATGACTCAGAGTGGATGAGTGACAATCAAATTGTACTTATGACAGGAACTAGAGAAGTACCAATGCCTCATATATAACTCGGTATTTCCAAATGAATATTCATTGAGGAAGGGGGAAGGGTAAACTTGAATAAATCTAAGATTTCCATCTCAAACGTGCTAGAGTCTCAAAAACTTTAGATTTTAAAGCTGGTAGCAACCTAACATATCTAGCTATCACAGCCTCCTTACTTTTTTTTAAGATTGGGAAACAAGTTCATAGAAGTTAAATGATTTGCCCAAATTAGTGAAAGAGCCAGGACTAAAAGCCAATTATCAAAGACTTACAGTATTCTTGAATCTAAGAAATAACAGCTTACCTGGATTCTGTACAGACTTTTTTTTAGCTAATTATGTTAATAACGCATGTTTTCTAAAATTTTACTGTTTAGAATGTTCTGGATAAGTGGCAAATATGTATGTTATCAGTCCAATCATAATGGAAATATTTTTATTTTTGCCGATCACTTAGCCTGGAGTGTAGGGAGCATTTAGATGATTAGAGTATCCAAGATGGCAGTTGCTAGCTCTTGCAGCTCAGTTTGCTCTGCTGATTTCTCTTTTCCGTGCTACTTAAACATACCTGCTTACCCATAATTTTGTGCTTGGCCCATTTATCAATTTACATCATTATACATAAGTGATTTCTCACACTTCCAGTGATGCCCACAACCATATTCTCTGCCCTGAGAACTTCCTCCCAAACTGGATGTCTCTATATCCATCTGTCTGTTAGACATATTCATTTGGTGTCATCTGTTTTAAAAAACTGAAGTTCAAAATGGAATAATTTCTTACTGTGTCCTCCTTCCCTAACAAAGGTAATCTACCATATTAGAAACCTTGGATTCATTCTCCACCTTTTCAAAATCGCAGGCTCAGCAATAATCACTTCCTTACTCTCCAGGGGTTTCTGGAATATACCTTCTGGCCCTTACAAGGTCTGGGATGGGTCCTGGAACAAGTGCCCTCACATTCATTCTTACCATGGGATAAGTTTAGGACACAGGTTACTCTCTTATTCCACCTTCAGAATGTAATTCTATTATCCTTTCCTCTGGGAAAGCCTTCTGAATGCACAAGCAAAATTCAGTCCTCTAGGCCATCAGCCACATGCTATAGTAGCACTTGTTATATACTTTTCCTACTAGCATTAATCAGGCAATATTATAATTTACCTAGCCAAAAAAATCTTCAGTAGCTTCTATTAGCCACAAGATAAAATTGACACTCAATCCAATTTACCGAGTGTTTTGAGCTTTAATACACATCAGATACTATTCTAGGCTTGTTAGAGAATTGAGTAAGAATGGTTCCTGACATCAAGGAGCTCATGTAGCCTAGGGAGAAATGTTTCTTCCTGGCATTGAGTCTTTCAAATCTTGGCACAAACTACTTTCCTTCACTTATTGTCTCTCAAAGGCTTCTTCACACCCTGTGTTCTGCATAACCTCAGGCCCTTTTCAGGTGCTGTTCCTTCTCCTTGGAAAGCTCTTTCTTCTCCTATTTGACCTGTCATTTCTGCTTTACTTTTAGCTGTCACCTCAACTACCTTATCTTTTTTTAAATTAAAATATACAATCTTATGATGGTGTCAATCATACATCAGTGGTTCAACAGTTACCCACATTATCAAGTCCTCACCTCCTCTAGTGAGGTTACTATCTATCAACATAGAAAGATGATACAAAATCATTGACTATTTTCTTCATGCTGTACTACTGTCCCTGTGATCAACTTATATTGTGATTGAGAATTACTGTGCCCTTTTATCCCCCTACCCCTCCCACCCCCACTCCTCCCACTTGGTACCCACTAGTCACTTCTCAGTATATGTGAGTCTAATAGTGTGAGATATCCTGATATTCTGAGATATAACAAATCTATAGAAAAGTACATAAGCATATAGCAGATTAACAAATAGCTATAGAGTGGACATCTATAAAACCATAATTCAGGCCCCTGTCCTCATGGAGTATACAGCTTAGAGTGGGAGACAAACATTAAATTCAATAGGCATACAAATACAAAATTGAGTTAGGACAAATGCTTTAAAGGAGATACAAAAGTGAATGTAAAAACAGCAGTTTCTGTCCTAAACAGAGAATTTCCTAAAGAAACGGTAGTTGAGCATAAAAAGAAAAGAAATCTTTCCATTTGTAACAATGTGGATGGTTCTAGAAAGTATCATGCTCACTGAAATAAGCCAGATGGAGAAACACAAATACCATGTGATTTCACTAATTTGTGGAATAAAAAACAAAGCAAAACAGAAGGAACTGTATTCTAAATAAATTTTTAACATTCCAAATTCAAACTTTAACAGTAATAACAGCTAATATTCTCAGATTATTATGTATCAAGCACTTAAATAAATCATTTAATCTTCACAAGAAAACTTTTAGATACTATTATTATCCCCACTTCATAGAATGGCTTATAAAAATTACTCAACTTCTCCCTCCCTGTCCCCAGCATTTAAAGCTATTCTCCCTCTTCATCACACCACTGACCTCCAAATTAATTGTACTTACCAGCTATCTTCCTGATGAACCTCATGGACTCATTTCTTAGTCTGGAATTTCTTTCTCCTTTCTCCAGACTTGCCTGGTTATCTCCTCTTCATCTAGAGGATGCCTGGTTATCTCCTCTTCATCTAGCCATCAAAAAAGGCTTCTAGGACATGCCTCAGATTGATCAGGACCTTTATTACAGGTACTGGTTTCCTATTGTTGGTGTAACAAATCACCACAAATTTAGGGGCTTAAAACAACACAAATTTATTATCTTATAGTACTGGAGGTCATTAGTCCTAAAACCAATATGTTGGCATGGCTATGTTCCTTCTAGAGGAAAATCCAGTTTCTGTCTTTTCCAGCTTCTAAAGACTGCCTGCATTCCTAGGCTCTCGACTCCTTCCTTCATCTTCAAGGCTCTAAGTGCCATCCTCAGTAGCTCTCTTTCCCTGTCCTCTACTTATTTTTTTCTGCTCTGACCCTTCTGCCCTCCTCTTAGAAGGACACTCATGATCACATTGAGCCTCCCTGGATATTTCAGGATACTCTCTCAATTTTAAGATCCTTAATCATACCTGCAAAGCCCCTTTTGCCATATAAGGTCACAGAGTTACAGATTTCAGGAATTAGGATGTGGACAACTTTGAGGGGGGCATTATTTTACCTACTCCAATATACATTCTCATATTTCCCAGAATTGTTCAGTGCTTGACACATGGTAAGGCCTCCAAAAATATCTGTCCACTGAGCCAATGAATGAACAAGTCAACATTGACACACAGCTGCCCCAAAAGCTTTATAATCTTAATCAGCATTAATAAAAATGGAATCCTCAGAACAAAGAGCACGAACATGGTAGCTTGTTGCACCCTGCTTGACTGGTCAAAAACACCTGGCATATTGTGCTTGGTTCTGAGTACCACACTTACAGTGTGAAAAAGGCAAATTGGGGCATGTTTAAAGGAAGGCAACAGGATGGTGAAGAATGAAAATCAGTATTGTATAAAACTCAGAGCATTTATAATTTTAGGGCCTAATCAGTGGATTTGAGGAAAGGGGTGAATCAAAGAAAAATCCATCATCAAGGCTAACATTGCCACTATTATCATAGCAATATGTGTGTATGTGTGTGTGCATGCACACATGCTCATTTACATGAACAGGTGGGCGTATTCATTGCATGTGTGTGTTTTGGAAAGTATCATTTTTTTTAGCAACAGTTTGCCCTAGAAGGAAACTTTGCAACACTTTCACAGGTAATTATTCTTTAAAGTAGTAATTTCGGTTGTCCTGATAAGCATATATAAAATTGTTTTGAAATGGCTTAAAGCACATTTCAATGGCACAAATTGGATAGTCACATATAATTAATTAACTGCAGGATTTTTCTGATGTGCAAAACAGCTACTATTAACTTTACTCCTTGCAATTCTCACCAATGGAAAGGGATCAAATATTTTAAAATATGAATTAGTTTTTAGAGAGTACATTTTTATATGACAAAGTGCTTATCTCCCTCCCAAGTGCTGGGTGCTACATCTGTCTGGATTTTTTCCTTTGCCCCAATTAAGATGGCCAGAAATTTTATGAGAACCTTTAATACTGATGTCAGATATTTAAAGCTTAGAAGTATGGGTATCTCTTCATTATCAGAATGGCGACACAGATTGCTGCATCTAGTAAATACGTCTCCCAATATTTTTATATTTTATACCATCATTTGAATATTTTATCATGTATGTTATATGTCTTCATTCATTCCTTTATTCAACAAATATTGATAGAGTGTCTGATGTGCGAAGTTCTGTTCTAGAAACAGGGATACACAGGTGAATGCAACAAAAAATTCTTGGTCTCATGGGGAGCATTGTATTGGAGAGGCATACAAAAAATAAACAACAACAAAACCAGAAGAGGATATGATAGACAGTGGTAAGTGCTATGGAGAAAACTGAAGCTGCGCAAGGGAATAAGGAGTTGTGTAGGCATAGGAGGGGGAGACGGAGAGCTGCAATTTTAAATAGGGTAGAGTGAGAAGCTGGTACTTAAATGAAGACCTAAAGCAGGTGAAGGAATGAACAAAGTGGGTATCTGGGGACAGGTATCTAGTTGGAGGAACAGTCGCCACAAAGACTCTGCAGTGAGAATGCCCCTGTTATATTCCAGCCAGAGGGGGGGAGGCCAGTGTGCCTGGAACAGAGAGGACCAGGGGGAATGGCAGAACACATGGACAGGGAGGTGCTGATGAAGGGAGGGTGGGAATTGGTAACACTTGATGTAGGGGCTCAAAGACATTTGTGATGACCTCGGCTTTTTATTGGAGTGAGGGGGGAAATCAGTGGGGGTGGACCCAGGCTCATTCTGGCTACTGTGCAGGGACACAGCCGCAAGGCCAAGGTGCGCATAGTGGGCAGTTAGAAGTCAACTGCAGTGTCTAGCTGAGAGGTGCAGGGCAGGCGTTAGCAATGGTGGCGGTGGTGCACCAACAGGTTCTTGTTGGAGCACATGGGGCTTGCTGATGGATTGGATGTGGGGTGAGAGGGAGAGGTGAGGTGTCAAGGATGACCGAGAGTTGGGCCTGAGCAAAAGGGAGCTATGGTTATCATCAACTGAGAGAGAAAGGAGTTGGACTGGAGACAATTTGTGTGTTTCCCAATTAAGTACAAAATCTCATGTGATTGTACATGTACAACTAAATTCTGGAGGTAAAAGAATGTGTAATAATCAATTTGGGGCAGGTTATGCAGTAAGGGTGATACTGAAGGAGAGGGCTACATCGCATCTCCTACCCATTAAGTGGTTGGTGTGGAAAACCTTTCACAGCCAAATCTGATAACCCTTAGATTCTTTTAACTTCTTTCTAGTCAGGGGTGCATGGAGATATGGGAAAACATGGATAAAGAGCTATGCAGGCAAAACACAGTCACTGGCACCATATATCTTTGTTATGAATTAGGGCAATAAAACTTTAATATTTGAAAAAATAATTGTTTTTCATAATGACTACTTTTGTACTTATTGTGACTAAGTATTATATAAAATTAATATTTGATTCTGATAAACCAAAAGAACTGCTGATGAAAAGAATGTGTACATGCTTATTGGACTGCATAACAAATAACTATTTGATGATGATTCTGCAGTATGTTTAAAGGGCAATTCTTCTTCTGTTGCTTCAGAGAGTTCATTTGGCATTCTAAAAATGGATGTAATTTCAAGGGGTGGCCAAAATGTATCAATTAGCCTGACATCTAGGTCTTTTTAACAGATCTATAAATTTCCAATTCCCTTTGCCATCTTAACCATGGTAAATCATCCTGAACAAGATCATTCTTTTGAACAACAGCTTCCTTATTAGCTGAGATCAATTGAGATTAGAAAATGAAAAATACACTAGATGCTGAGAACTCTTTATGAAATCATCGTTGTAGAATGAGTATTGAATGAAGATAAATGTGTTATTTTCAGCTTCTACATCATTGATTTAAAAATTTATTCTCTATATCCCATTGCTGGATTAAACACCAATATATATTTGGATGGTTTGCTTGAAAGAATGACCTTTTCCTTGAGGTTATGTATTAACGGAAGGAAATTATTTTTAATTCCAATGTATCTTTCTTTGCATACCATGAGTGATTCTGAAAATGCTACACAGTAAATTTTGTAAAATTGATTTTTTTCTATTGAATTATAAATTAATTAAGTCCTTTGTTTTAATTTCTGATTGGTTTTTTTTGCTCTTCAGATAAAATACAAGATCCTTAGCACACTATGTGGACACTATGTGATCTGGATTCTGCCTGCCTTTAAAGACAATCTCACAGCACTCTCCTCTTTTGTCTCTACGTCCCAGCCTGGCCGTCTTTCAATAATCAGACTCCAGGTTTTTGCACTTATTGTCTAAAATTTCAGTTCTCTAACACGACTTGCTTCATTTTTTCCCCATATAACACATAAAGCACATTACTTTCTTAATTAATTGTCTGTCTTCCCCTAACTAGAATAGGCTCCAAAAAAATGCCTGGATCTCTAGCATCTAGGACTATGTTGGGTATACAGTATGCACTCAGAAAAAATGATGAATGAATGAATGATTCTTTATCCTGGAATACCAATTTTCCTTCTCTCAACTTAAGTAACCTCTATTCATCATTTTGATTCCAGCTTAAGTGTCACTTTTTCAGGCCACTTTTTCTTGACCCCTAAGACAATGAATTCAATAATGCTTATAGGATCCCTTAGAGTTAACACCTCATACTAGCCTCTTGACACCATGTTATTTAATTATATAAATACCTAATGAGTTTCTTTTCTGGACTATACTACACAGAAGGAAAGAAGGTCATGAAAATAGTAAAAAGACTATATAGGCTTTAAGATAGAAAGATTTCTTAAACTTTGACTGCCTGTATGAGCTTGGCCAAATTACCAGTTAAGATTTTGGTTTTTCATTTGTCAAAGAGAAACAGCAATAACTATTTTGGATGGTTTATGCAAGGATTATTAATAATGCATGTAGTGTGCCTGCCAACTAGTTCCAAAGATGGCAGCTGTTATTATTATCACTAGAAGGTAAGCTCCTAGAAGGCAGACATACTTGTATTCCCAGAACCTCATGTACAGAATACTCAAAAAAACGTTGGTTAAACTGACCAGCAATGAAACCATGCTGAACACGTGCTACTTCTTACCTCCCAAGGGGCTTAAAAATCTAAGCAAGAAAATAAGTTCCAAATAGATTCATGAACTATTTAGGTAATAATAAAATACATAGTTTATGATACATACAAGATGAGAACAAAGTATGTGTTATAGACCATAAATGCTTTGGGTGATCAGGCAAGAAATGATAAGAGGTGGCTGGCTGTAGTTGTTAGGAAATGGTAAGTTCACATGTTTGTGTGTGTAAGATATATACCAGTAAGCCTCCTAGGAAAATGTTCAACTTCTTTGTCAAAATTTGGTGATGCTGGCTCTATCAGTGTTAGATAAAATGCATCAACCTGCTACTTCTCCGTTAGTATAATGACAGACAAAATTGGGTTATTGAACTTGGGTAGCAAAGCATATTTGTCATAGTAATGGATGCTTTTTCTCCCTTTAGTGATCAGTAGTTAATTAATGATCACAAATATGTTCTGATGATGTTGGGTGATGTTGCTCAAATAGGCTGTATTATGGGGGTACAGACTAGCCCTTGAAAACTAATCACAGACTCAATTCCATATTCTACTTGTTTATGCTCATCACAAGTTTCAGTTGTATTATATCATCCATAATCATTACATATTGCTGTCCTTTCATTTTGCCAAACTGCTTGCAGCTCTAATAGATTGGACTGAGAAAGTGAGCATGAACAAAAGAATATTTCTTTTTTCTAGGACATTCTCTCCTTTCTGATACTTGGGTGTCTCTGTAAAGGTATTCTGCCTTTGATACAAACAGAAGGGCACCCCATTAAAGGTTTTTGATACACTAACAATCACACTGAGGGCTTCAGATTTCTAATTACAGAATTGAATGCAACCAAACACACTCATAAATCCTGACATTAGGAAAAGAGATTATCTCCATCTTTTATCCACTTTAAGCCATGGATGATCTAGAATCCCATGCCAACTGGCAATCAAACACACACCCACCTGCCCAGATTCTCAATCTGCAGAGACAAGACCAATCAGACCAGCTGCTTCTAGAGTAAGCCCCTGCATCTGCATCATAGTGGCAGACAAATACCCTGGAAACCTGTGCCTCTCCACACTCATACCCACATGACATTCAGCTAAATGAAAATATATGACTATTCTATTCACAAGGACAGAGACCTGAATACAGGAATACCGTGCTCAGACATACTCACAAACAAAAACAAACACAACACATGCTCAGAATAAAGCATTTTGTTTATCCGGCTCGGCAAACCGCACTTCGTGTACGCACACTTTCAAGTCCTGCACAAGACCCCTGGTACGTTGGTTTGCTTTTCTCTTAACCATTAAAAAACGAGTCCTTCACCCCCGAGTGCGTCCCGGGCATTTATAAAGCAGCAACTTTGTTGCAGTATTGCCTGTCTTCTCAACTCTTTTCACTGTTCTACCTGAACTCTCGGAGGGCCGGCCAGGTGGCGCCGGCCGGCCACGTCCGGCTCCAGTGCCCTCCCCGCTGCAGACGCTCCCGGGGCGGGGCCGCGCCGGCCTCCAGGAAATGCCCAGGTGTGTGTGTCACCTGCCGCTGGCGACTTGTTGATTCCCAGGAGCTGCCTTCAGGTCTGAGCCCCCGAGACCAGAGAACGCTCTCTCTCATCTGTTCCCCAGGCGCGGCCCGCTTGCCCCTCGACTCCACAGCCATGAGCAAGTTGGGCAAGTTCTTTAAAGGGGGAGGCTCTTCTAAGAGCCGAGCTGCTCCCAGCCCCCAGGAGGCCCTGGCCCGACTACGGGAGACTGAGGAAATGCTGGGCAAGAAACAAGACTACCTGGAAAGTCGAATACAGAAAGAACTCGCCCTGGCCAAGAAGCATGGCACGCAGAATAAGCGAGGTAGGCTCGGGGTCTGGTACCAGGCGTGAGCTCTCACTCTCCCACCTGCAGCCCCTTCTTTGGGGCCAGTCGGGCCCACAGCACCTGTCTCCCAGGAGGCCAGATTTGCTCCCACAGTCTTTCTAGGAACTGGTATTGACCCCAACGCCGAGACTGGAGTGACCTGAGCAAGGCACACGCCTGGATGGCAAAATGTTAGAGGGAGCCCAAAATTTCAGTAATCAACGGAGTATTTTTATGCAATATTTTGCATAAAAAAGCCCTCAGAATTAATGCAAAAAATCTATGATGAGCAAAGTATCAAAGTACTAAATGAGAACAAGATCAGTGTTACTGATCTTTTTTTTTTTCTTTTGTCTCTGGCTCTTATGTCTTTATGTGGGGCACTTCTTTTTGTAACATAAGTTTTTTAAACTTTTTTTTGTGCATCATGGACTTTTTTGCATTAATTTTGAATTTTAAAACTGCATTAAAATATTATTTTATGTTGATTACTGACTTTTTGACATCCCTTTAAATTTTTCTCTTGGCTTGCCTCACCCTAGTATACAGCCCTGCTGACCCCAGCACTAAATATCGTTTTCTTGAATCACACATTTTAACTTGCATGCAACTCTTCAGAGAGGTATATTCTAGAATGTTCTGGTTCACCTTGCTCCTCAGCCGTTGAAGACTTCAGTTAACTTGTGCAGTTGAGATATACAAAAAAAAAAGTCAGAGAATTAAATACGAAACTTCCTATCATTGTCTTTTACCACACAAAGGGGACTTTGAGCCAGTAATAACTCTTGGTGCTCCTGTCACACTTTGAACCGTTCGTGTTTTGCCAGAGTTAATGGTTTCTTCAGCTCTCTTTATAGAGAACAGATCTAAACAGCACCGTGACACATAAAAACCCATTGAGAAGCTGAGGTGATTTGCTTTTCTAAAAACATTAGAATAGAAGTGGTCTTGCAATGGCAGACCCAGAAGTAGAAATGTCAATACAGTACTTTGCTCACCACCAAACCCTGAACTTGTATCCTCAAGTCAGGCTTCTTTAGCCATATTGAAGCCTTGGGAAGATTTAGTTCTCCCAAACTGCCATTGTTTAACCAGGAGAGGAATAACGTCTTCTGGAGCTGACCTTGGAAACTCTGTCACTTCCCATAAAATGTGCCCGATATATGTGTGCCCACTTAATACCAACAATAAAAAGGTCGTTTCATTTTTCTCTGCTACTGTGTGTAACTTTTGTTCACATAATAGCTTGCTTTAGCATTAAGTTCTGGTTTCTGTTTTTACTTTATGTCTGAAAATATTTTGGGAATTTATTAATTGGCCATTTGTAAAGCAAGACCATGCCATTCTGGCTTGCTAAAGAGTCATTAGTTGTTCTGTTCAGTTGCCCATCCTCTGTAGTTTGATATGCACACTTGATATTTGCTTAATGTTTGTCAAGGGTTTTTTGTTTGTTTTGTCATCTTTTGGGGCTGTATAGAGCTTTACAGCAGTTGCTCAGTAAGCATTGATTTAAAACATCTGAAAAATTGTATATCTGCTTCTAGGAAGTGGTAAAAATTAGATTTGCTTTCAGAAGACAAACATGTAAAATAATATAGGTTTAACTTGTTACTTTCACAAATGTTCTCCAATTGGAGATGCGCTAAAGTGTATTATAAAGACACTAAAGAAAAAAATTAAAGATAACATTAATTAGGTGAATCAGTCTTTCTTAAATCAGAGAAGTTACTGGTGCAACTATTATGTACAAATAACCAATTGGTGTTAGAAAAGCCATTTATTTATTCTTTGTCATTTATCCTTGGGAACTTCACTGCTGTTAACCAAGGCCTGCTTTTACAGTTGCTCTCATATTAGGAAGAGGCCAGTTAGCATGTGATCATCTGTAATCTAAACTGTGGAAAGAATTCAATCACAAGCCCATGCATTGAAAGCCCTGTCAATATCAGCATATTCCAAAAAAACCAGCCAAATTCATATACACATAGTTACTGTTTTCCATTAACCACTAAGAAATATTTTTACACATAGTGTAGTAAGGCCCAATATACTTAATACTAAATGGGCCTTGTGCTACACAATATCAGTGCTGGGATGGCTGTAATTTATATTATAATCAGATGACATAATGTATGTTCAGTTAAAGTTTTACTTTTAGACATGGTTGGTCAGCTAGCATGCTGTCCAGAATACTAGTAGAGGGGAGGTGAGGGAGGGGGTGAAAAAAAACCAATACTAGTAAAGGGACTGATAGCATTATATTAGAAAGGGCCACACTCTTGACCACTACAAATTCTTCAATGACCTTTCTGTACAGTAGAAGCTTCGACAGTATTCTGAATGTCAACAACAGGTTTTATGGTAAAATGAGTAACTTGCAAATTAGAATAATGGAAGCAGCATCTCTTCTGTGAAATGATAGGTATTCTAAATATGTGGACTAAGTGAAATAGTTTAGACACTTCCTTGCTGCCCATGTAAGAACAGGTTAAAGGGACCTACCAGGTATATAGCTAAACAGTAGGCTAGTACCTGAGGCTTGATTTCAGATAAGGGCAGTGTCCAGTCCTTGGTTCAGATGGACTTCCAACCCAGTCCACTTACTGCAGGGCACAGTCCCCTGCCAGGGAATGTTGCCATCTGCCCTCAATGAACCTTTCATCCAAGGTGTATTGGAGCACCTGAAAGGACACAGAACTGGGACTTCACTCAGCTCATGGAACAAGCTGACAGCCTGTTTTTGCCTATTTGCCAATGTATGTTTGTTTAATAAGTGTTTATGCAGAATTTAGTCTGAAGCTTGCTTTCATTGTATCTCATAGTACAGTTGTAGAGGGGTGGCTAATTCTTCTTACCTCAGGCTTCTTAGGTTCTTACCGTAATGTACCAGAAAGAACCTGAATGTGCACCACCAAAATGGTTTTGGAATAGCCATGATATTCAGGGCCCTGTTGATCTCAAAGATTAGCAGTTGGAGCAAGACTTATAATTTGGTTAAAACCGTTAAGGAGGTCAGAGTTTCTCTAATGCAGTTTATTCAGATTATTCCTGCTTTATAGCTAATAATCTACTTTATGGAAAAACAAACTTCTTACTTATCACTTAATTTTTTGTACTTCTCTGAGCTCTGTCATATAGAGCAGCTTTCCATCTTGGCTGTATAGTCACCTTCATGCCTGGGTCCCACCCCCAAAGATTCTGATATAATTGGCTGAGGTGGATTTTCAGTAGGCCTCAGGTTATTGAGAACTTGGGCTGATAGAGATGAAAGGTTGACAGTAGGAGGAAGTGAAATTGGCCACAATCCCTACTCAGTATTATTACACATGATTCAAGAGAAAACATGGTGCTGAGACCATTCCACCTTTTGTCAGGTGTCTGTTTGGTGAATGAGAACCCAAGGCAGAGAGTCTTCTATTTGAACAAGTGGCTCCTTTGAAGCCTGGGCTGTTTTTTGGCAAGGGTGGATGTACTTTCAGAGTCACAGTGCAGACTTGGTCTTCCTTAGAGTCAGAGGATGTGCAGAGTCCCATTTGTTTAGCTCAGTGTTGGGACCTCCCTGGGCTCTTAAGTGTGCTCTTTTATTATAGCTGTCATAGTGCTAAATTCTGCAATCTCAGACAATGGGGGGCAGAAGGACTACTGTGTAAGGAGAACCACATTTGTATCAGCTGATTGAATGCCAAAGTAGTGAGAGCAAAAGCACAGTGGCTCAGGTAATGTGAGACAGACCTACACTGTAGGACCCTGATGGATGGAAGTTCCCCTTGGGGAGATATCATTTACCTGATGACCTCCTTTCTTTAAAGAGTTTCTCAAAATGTGGCCCTCAGACTGCCTGCATCAGAATTCCTTCAGGATGGTTGTGAAAGTATACACTCACAAGTACCTCCTAAATATTCTCATGTAATAAGTTGAGTGTAGAATCCGGAACACATGTAAGTCAATGCCCACTACAGTCTGAGCACCTATGATCTATTATTCAGTGAGCTGTTAAACTGGAAGCCACTACTCTGTACTCTGTTTTCTTTCTTACCATTCCTATTTTCTCCCTTCATCCATCATCACTCAAATGACAGGATGATAAATATCTCTCCCCCTCCCCCTCTGTTTACTGCCAAGGAATCATTTCCAGAGCTTCTGACAGGTCCTCATTAACCACCTGAATTTATTTTCTTTCGGGAAGTTCATATGGTGCTGACTTGACTCCTCAGGCCTTCCGAAGGGGTCTCAGAGTTCTCAGTATTCAAATTACAACCAGGTACCATAATGAAGCATTCTTCTTTGCTTCCAATTATCTGGTTGTTTTTTCTCACTCTCTGTGTATTCTGGAACCCTGGAAAAGAGTTTATTTCTGGGTCATTAACAACCAAGATCTGGGCCAGGTCTCCCTCTCCAGTCAACTGCTCTCTCTTCTGGAAAAGATAGATGAATGGAAATGTGACCCTCCCTCAATCTCCCCGAATACCAGCTTCCCTCGCCCCCTTCAGGAGCTCTCCTAGGCTTTCATCCGAGGGTGGGGGGACCTAAAACATTTGACCCAGCCCTGGAAACCTTATTCACTTAAGCTATAGTTAAAAAACACCTTGCTTTCCCACTACCTCCCTTTCCCCTTTGAGCCCAGTGTTGGGACCTCCCTGGGCTCTTAAGTGTGCTCTTTTATTATAGCTGTCATAGTGCTAAATGAGTGAGTATACAACCTCACTCACTCACTTAGGTACTACTGACCAGCACACAGTGCCCTGGCTGGTTACCAATTTTGTTCTGCTAATACTACCTCAGTTTGCACATGCTTTTTCAGGTGCTATTCCCCTATAGTGTTCTAAGAGAGTTAAAAATCCCAACCAGGTTTACCTTCTCCCCTTATTTAAATTAGCATGTTGAGTTTACAGTCAGCATTTTACATTGGTTTTTATTAAATATCATCTCATTTTCAGTTGTCTTAATAAAGATTTTTAAAATTCTAACTTTATCGTCTTATAGAGAGAGCTCTTTCTTTTAGTGGAATTGGTCACAAATATAATCAGCAGTCTTTTTTGTTGCTGTCAGTCTTTGTTAAAATACACTGAATAAGACAGAACCAAGAACAGAGCCTCATGGCATGCCTGTAAAGACTTCATTCTGGGATAACTTCTGCATGATAGCAACAATGTTTCACTTAAGATGCACCTAACTCATGAAGACCAGTTTGATGGATCAACACTTAATGAGTTCAGTTATTCATCTGGCTGTGAATATACCTGACCTACATTTCTACTCCATATCATCTTATTTCTCTAACATCTCTCTTCCCAGACAGTGCCTCAATATGCCTTGTGAATTATATTATTAAAACCAAACTATATTCACACACCTGTTGCACAAATGCTGGCTGTGAATTGATAGTGTGTTAGTTTCATCAGATGCCACTGGAGAGCTTTTTAAAATGTCACACCAGAAGACTCAGTTTCAATAAGTCTGGGATAAGGTTCAGGACTGTGGTACGGAAAGATTTCTGGGTGATTCTGATTTGCAGAAGGTTAGATGGCCAGTGGGTGGTCTATGGTTCTTCCTTGACTCAGCATCTAATAACCAAAAGAAAAGAAGCCTGTGAGTCAGTTTGGTACGTTTCATCTTTATGAGCTTCTAGTGGCTCCTGGTTATCATTGTTTTTCTAATTCCTCAGAAACTGGACTGTAGGGTGTTTCTGTTCTAGAATCATTCTTTCAAGTATCTGTTGCACAGATTTTGACAGTTTGTTGACATGTAGCTACCTCTAGAAGGGTCATTAGTACTATTTCTTGTGTTATGTAACATTACATCTAGTTTGGTTTTTTTCTTCATGAATTTGGAGCAGTATTATAAATTTTGGAACACTCATTCTCCTTCTTCATTCGAAGTTCCACAGAGCTGGATAATAGGCACAACATTTTGGAAATAATTATATTAAGCAAAGAATATAATTTTCTTTAATTTACACTATTCTGCAGTTTCTTGAATTAACCACAGTAAGGTAGAGAATTTATTAGTAACAATAAATTATTGTTTGTGGCATAATCACATGATTATGCCAAAGTCATGTGAATTATAGTTTTAAAAAACGATGGCTGGAGCTTACTGTGAGCTTGCCCTCAGATGGACTTGGTATTACTTGTATGTCTCAGTACTTAGGACAACTTACTTAGATCAGATTTCAAGAAAACATTAAGAAAAACACATGATACTCTAACCAATGAGATATAAGACAAGAGACCTAATACTGAGGGTTCTTTTTAGCTTAGATTCTTTGCTTGTGGAGATCAGGTTTGGAAAGCATATGAATGATCTGTTTGGGTATTCATTTTTTAAAATATGCTTAAGTACATGTGAATCTACTTGTACTTTTAAGGGACAGGGTTATCACAGATACTTAAGATGTCTGCCTTTTTTTATCATTTAAGGGAAGTTCTGACAAATACACAGTTGGCTTAAACATGTGCAGGAACAAAAAAGCAAGAGTCTGGAATAAATATAAAACAAATAGGAGGCCATATCCTGAACAACTGATTTTTCTGTACCAGAGTTGATCCCTTGTCTCAAACCAGTGATGCTGATAGGGAATTACTTATTGGAAATATTTAGGACTTAGTCCAAAGTTTGTGTGGTCATGCTTTAAAGCAGTAGGAGCCTTTAAACCTGAACCATTGGTCTTTCAACCTGCTTGCTAAGCCCTTTTCCCAGATATTTCTAACTTGCAGGTATTTCTAGTGAGAGGACATCTCCACTGTCATGTGCTCTGTACAACTTCCATCACCTCTTACTCAGTCTAGCAATCTAGTGATTTAAACAGCAACACTGCTATTGCTACCCTTAAAACAAAACAAATCCAAAGATGGAAGCAAACAAGAATGGTCATTTTAAAATTACAGGAAAGGAAAGTTGATTATTCTCTGGTAAAAGTTGGGAATCCTTTTATAAGTTCATTATTTAAAACCTAAAATTTAATGTCAACCATCTAGCTTAAACAAAATAAAGTTCATAGTTTTACATCTGGCTTACACGTAAACTCAGAGGAATAAAATTATGCAGCCACATATTTAGCAAGCACTTTGGACATTCTATTCTCCATTGAAACATGAATTTCTTTGGGTTCTTTCACATAGTGTTTTATGCTACATAGTCATATGGGGTGTCTTATCTGCTATAGTAATAACATTGTTCAGCAGGCCTTTCTCAGTGAGCAGTGCTATTTCCATTACCAATTCTTGCCACATTTAATACATGTAAGTGAAAGTCTGTATAACCTTGGAGTTTGAACAAAGGTATTATTCTAACTCAAAACTTCTGCTATGTTAAGTGTAGCAAGAAAATAATTATGATTATGTTAAACCAATTTATATATATTTTAAGGATCACACATGCAAGAGCCTATTTTGTCATTTTATGAGCAGTTTGAAAATGTATTCATGTAATCTATCTCCATTTGTTAAGTATTGTTCTCCCACTTAGACATGAAAAATTAAATAATAATGCAGTTCATCACCAATTTCAAGGTAAACCTATTCTTAAAAATTTTCCAGTAATAATAGTCACCTTGATGATAGGTGCTATATATTTCTGTAGATTTGCTGATCACAGGATCTCAAGAGAAAAGTCATAGAGTCAAAGACAGTGAGACCTGAAAGGGGCCCTAGGGATATGGCTTGTTAGTGCTCAGGAGCACCTGCAAGCCACCAGCATAGTAGTAGGAAATATTGGTGCATCATATGAACGAGGAATACTTGTTTACAAGTATTATTAACAATTATTATTAATACAAGTATTAACAATTAAACAATACTTGTTTACAAGAAAATAGGGCTTTATCACACATGCACACATTTATACATATGCAGATATGCATATAAATACAATACATATATATACATATGCATACATATAAATATATACAGGTTTATTCCTGGTTTCTACTATATCTCAGCCAGAAACTTTGCATTGCTGAGTAGGAGATTTGCAGTAGGAGAAGAGAGTCAGGGGCTGGAAGCAATACTTTGTGTAGTACCTTTTATCATTCATATTCCTTACTGAGCAGAGCATTGTAGTATGTGTGTAGACAGTCACTCTGGCTTCATCTACGTCTCCTCCTCTGTAAATCCTTCCCTTACCCTCCAGAGAGAGCTTATACACTCCTCTGTGTGCCCACTGTACCTTGTATATCTGTTTTGTTATTCTCTTCTGTGTCTCCTCTGGTACTTGAGGTGAAAGATGTAACTTACACAGGTTAGTATCCATGGGCAGGTCCTGTAAAGTAGTAGATGCTCAATAATGCTGTTGAGAGATGAATAAGTGATTGAACGCCCATTTCATATTTTGCCTCCTCTGAGACTGTAGCCTTATTTCTTTGTCCCAGCAGGGCCAAACAGTGCTGGGTGTGTGGAAGATCTTCAGTACATATTGTGGAATGATTGAAATGAATGAATAAAAGATATATATTTTTTTAAATGAAGAAGGCCAGGGAAGTTCTGAACAGGGTCACCTTGGACAAATGATGGTTAGAATTTTCTAGTATTTCCCCAGGTGTTTCCAATCTAACCTGTGTCTTTGAACAGAAACACTTTATATTTATTGAGTTTGCAAAATGCTCGTGATGATGCTTAGTTAGGTGCCATAAATAGATGGTGTGGTTTAATTAATGAAGTAATTTGCGTCTGAGTAAGAACAGGACTTACATTAAAGTTTTTCAAATAAAACAGCATGATTATGAGACTTCCCAGTTGAAAGGCAAAAGAGGACATAACCAGTTATGGCTGACACATGTATCTTGAACACTCTCTAGGATTACTCCCCTGAGCTTCATCCTTAGGCCTTCTCTGGAGGTCATCCATTCCTGGGAGAGGGAAGAGCTGTCATAATGCAGTTTCACATTTCACAAACAGTTCGTCTATAGTCACTGGATATAATGGTTCCTAAAAGCTTCTTCCTTTTTTGCCAACTCATGGATTAACAATGCACACACTTATACACCCTGATGATTGAAGAACAGCAGACTGATCTTTAGGCGAGGGATTGACCTATACATTATATCAGCAATGAAATGGCAACTGTCTTCTGCTATTTTAAGTTATTTTTCATAGATGATGAAAGCCTTCTCCTCGGGCAATGTAGTGAAGTTGCTTACTGGCCAGCTGAATTTAGGTTCAGGCAGGTAATTCTTAAATTTAAGTCCCTATCCTCAGTGGGCTGTAGTATGGGCTTATCCTGTACCCCTTGGGAGCAGTACAAACAGGACACAGTTCTGCAGCTCCACTGCTGAACAACATCACTGTTATGGAGGGAGACAAAACCCTTGGCTGTTTCTCCACCACACAGAGGAATACAGTAGATTCCTTTGTTTTACAAAGAATGTTGTCCAGGTTTCACCAGCTGCTTAAAAGCACATACAGGAGTTTGGAAGATTGAATTGCACCTTCTACACAGGTTAAGTTACATGGCTCTAAAAGTGTCCTCCTTTGCCAAAGAGGAGCAAAGCTTGATTTGCAGCATTTGTGGCATGTCTTGCAAAAATACAGCTGTTTCTTTCCCAAACTGTTTATTAGAAAACAAAAGAAAAGTCTGTCCAAGTTATGGTGGGTCTCTGGCATCACCATTTCCTGTGAGAAATAGCTCATGTGGAGACTCCTGAGATATACTTCCTGGCTTTTTGGAACAGAAGCCTCTGGTCTTAGTGTTTGGGAGTAGCTACCACACCAGGCAGAAGCAGCAAGAAGTGTCAGGTTTCTGAGGGTCAGATCCAGCCATGCAGAGATCACTGGTTTGTGCACACAAGGTTTTTTATTTTATTTTATTATTATTTTAATTTTGTTATCATTAATCTACAATTACATGAAGGACATTATGTTTACTAGGCTCCCCCCTTCACCAAGTACCCCTGCCCCCACATTCCATTACAGTCACTGTCCATCAGCGTAGTAAGATGCTGTAGAATCACTACTTGTCTTCTCTGTGTTGCACAGCCCTCCCCATGCCCCCCACATGCTAATTATACATGCTAATCGTAATACCCCCTTTCTTTTTCCCTGCCTTTATCCCTTCCTTCCCACCCATTCTCCCTAGTCCCTTTCCCTTTGTAACTGTTAGTCCATTCTTGGGTACTGCGAGTCTGCTGCTGTTCTATTCCTTCAGTTTTTCTTTATTCTTATACTCGACATATGAGTGAAATAACTTGATACTTGTCTTTCTCTGCCAGGCTTATTTCACTGAGAATAATACCCTCCAGCTCCATCCATGTTGTTGCAAATGGTAGGATTTGTTTTCTTCTTATGGCTGAATAATACTCCATTGTGTATATGTACCACATCTTCTTTATCCATTCATCTACTGAGGGACACTAGGTTGCTTCCATTTCTTGGCTATTGTAAATAGTGCTGCGATAAACATAGGGGTGCATCTGTCTTTTTCAAACTGGGCTGCTGCATTCTTAGGGTAAATTCCTAGAGGTGGAATTCCTGGGTCAAATGGTATTTTTATTTTTAGCTTTTTGAGGAGCCTCCCTACTGCTTTTCACAATGGTTGGACCAATTTACATTCCCACCAGCAGTGTAGGAGG